TATTACTGGGAAAAAATACTATAAGAAGATATTGTTATTGACTGAATTGTGGCCCTCTGAAATTTCATGTTGAAATCCTAACCCCTAGTGCCTCATAGTATGACCATATTTGAAGATAGACCTTTAAAGATATAATTAAAATAAAATAAGGTCATTTGGTTGGGTCTAATCCAGTATGACTAATGTTCTTATAAGAAGTTGAGAATTATAGGACATTAAGCAGGCACAGAGAGACCATATGAAGATACCAAAAGAAGGTGGCAGCTCTAAGCCATAGACAATGGCCCACAGTAAAAACCAACCCTGCCAGTATCTTGATCTTGAACTTCTTTCCTCTTGACCTCTGAAGAAATCTGTTTCTGATATTTAAGCTCCCCAGTCTGTTGTACTTTGTTGTGGCATCTCTAACTACTTAATGCAGATGCTTTCCTTGTTAATAATCAAGGAAAGACTGGGATTGTGGCTCAGCGGTAGTGCACTTGCCTAGCACATTCGAGGCCCTGGGTTCAATCCTCAGCACCACTTAAAAATAAACAAAATAAAAGTATCGTGTACAACTATTTTTAAAAAATAATAATAATCAAGGAAATGAAAATTAAAACCATCATGAGATTCCATTTAACCTGTCAGAAATAAATGTAGACAAGAATGAATCTTAGCAAAATTATGTATTAACAGAAACTCACATGCTGCAAATTGGAAGACCCAATTTGAAGATATTTGGGCACAAGGGAGTCTTGTGGTGATGGTTCAGTTTAGCATCTAGACTATGGTTTGTGGTTATATGAAGCTACACATGTGCATAGAGCCATATAAATGAACATACCCAAAGGAGTAAGTGAGTAATTGGTGGAATCTAAATAACCTTTATGTTGTATACCAATGTATATGTATACCAATGTCAATTTTCTAGCTTTTTATTGTGTGATAGCTATGCAGGATGCTGACATTAAGAAGTACACAGGAGGGCTGGGGATGTGGCTCAAGCGGTAACGCGCTCGCCTGGCATGCGCGGGGCACTGGGTTCGATCCTCAGCATCACATAAAATAAAATAAAGATGTTGTGTCCACCAAAAACTGAAAAATAAAGAAAGAGAAAGATCTTAAGAAGTACACAGGACTCCTTTGCAACTTTTTTCCATTTCCTTGACTAGAAATCTGAAATCTTCAGTGTCAGCAAGCTGTACTTCCTCCAAAAGCTTTAAGGGAAAAGCAATTCCTTACCTCTTCGGGTGTCTGAGGCGATGTGACCACATCACTCTACTCTCTGCCTCAGTGGTCACATTGTCTTCTCCTTTTGTCTGTGTAATTTTCTTAATGTCTTTTGTTTTTTGAGAGAGATAGAATTTTTTAATATTTATTTTTTAGTTTTCAGTGGAGACAACATCTTTATCTTATTTTTATGTGGTGCTGAGGATCGAACCCAGAGCCCCAAGCATGCCAGGCGAGCGCGCTACCACTTGAGCCAATTCCCCAGCCCTCTTAATGTCTTATCATTGGATTTACGGCCCACCTAGGTAATCCAGCATGCTTTTATCTCAGAATCCTTAATTACATCTGCCAAAACACTTTTTCAAAAGGAGGTAACATCCACAGATTTCAGGGATTAGGACATGGGCATATCTTTTGGGAAATTACCTTCAGCCCACTATAAATGTTAATATCATAAAAAGAGGCAAGTCAGGGCAAAGTTTCTCATGAAAGTAAAGCCCACCTTGCCAAAACAAACAGAAACAAAGCAGACCCAAACAAACACAAACCTGAATCTAATTAAGCCTCTAGAGTCAAAAGCCAATTTAAGGAAAAACAAGAAGTAAAACATTCCCAGGATGCAGTCAACAAAATTCAGACTCAGAAACTCAACAAACAAAAACCTGGGCTTCTTCAACAATTGAATTGATTGCAAGAGAAGAAAAAGGAGGAAGAAAGAAATTTACAGTGTATGAAAAGAACATCATATTAAGCAACATCAGCTTTCCCTCACCAGATTCTCCCCACCACTCCTCACCCCATCTCACCTCTTCAGTCAGGATTCAGTATCACCTTCTTTGCTCTCCCTATATCCTCTATGTGCTTCCATAGTGTGCTTTAGCTGTGTAACCTATTTAGTTCTCCCAGCTTCCACATTATAAGCAACATCCAGTTGTGCTCTGGGGACTGACTTTATTTGGATCCTAATTCAAAAAACTTTTAAAGAATAGGGAAATTTGAACACTAATTGATATGTTTGTCTTGTAAATTTTAAACTGAATGTGTTTTCTTAAGACCCCTATTCTTTTAGATAGGATATTGAAATGTTTATAGATGAGATTGAAGTAAGTCTGAGACTTACTTCAATATAATTAGTGACAGAAGAAGTAGATGAATTTATAGATGAAACAAGATTGTCCATGAGGGGATGTTTTTGAAAACTGGGTCATGAGCACATGGAGATACATATTACTATTGTCTCTACTTTTATGTGTGTTTTGAAATTATCTATAACAAAAAGTTTAAAGTCTGTAAGAATTGACCTGTCCAGTCTGCACTTGCCCCACCCATCATAGTGCTTGAGGATTTGTTTGGCTAGTGATCCTCCCAGCTTTTCTTCATGATAATGAGTGAGGCTTTGAGGGCTGGATCATTAGCTTTCAGTTATTCTAGCTTAAAATTAGAACCCACGAAAAGAACAAAATACATTTCCCTTTGAGAATACATTTTCTCAGTGAGTATTCCTTGACCAGAACCTCCCCATCATCCTCACCCCGTCTCACCTCTTCCATCTGAATTCAGTATCCGCCCCTTTTGCTCTCCCTGTACCTCTCCCTGTACTTCCACAGTGTATTTGGAACTGTGTAATCTATTTGGTTCTTCCAGTTCCACATTCTAAATTACTGGAAGATACTAACCCTGTTTGTTGTCATTCCTACACTTGGACCTGGTAAGCTCTATAAATGGATGATTGAATGGGGGGAGGCAAGCAGTGGAAAACTGGGATTGCACTTGTAAATAAAATACAAAACACTACATTATCCTCTCAAGTAGTCCATCCTTTTCCCAGATTTCCAAGGTAAAACTACAGAACTTTTTTGAACTTTTTTTTCTTCTGCCCATCCTCAGGCAGAGCTGCTAATGAGGTGTAATGCATTGCACATGAAAGATGAGTAACCAGTGCAGAAAAATGCAATTTGGGTTTCTGCATAATCAAATGTTGCTTATTTACATTCTTTCCCAGAGCATATAATTCATTTTCGAGACCATCTTTCTATGCTATTTATTTTGCTGTTCTATGTATATTCCTTTTCATTCTGTCTTCTGAATTATTTGTTTTAATTAGTTATACATGACAGTAGAATACATTTTGATATATCATACATAAATGGAGTATAACTTCTCGTTCATCTGGTTGTACATGATGTTATGATTATAGATCATGTAATCATATATGCACATAGGGTAATAATGTCCAATTCATTCTAATATCATTCCTATACCCATGCCCCCTCCCCTCTTTTCACTCCCCTCTTTCTAGTCCAAAATACCTCTATTCTTACCCCTCCCCCATTGTGAATTATTTTCCATATATCAGAGAAAACATTTGGCCTTTGGTTCTTTGGGATTGGCTTATTTCACTTAGCATGATGTTCTCCAGTTCCATCCATTTACTGGCAAATACCACAGTTTTTTTATTCATTAAGGCTTGGTAATATTCCATTGGGTATATATACCAGTTTCTTTATCCCTTTATCTGTTGAAGGGCATCTAGGTTGATTCCATAATTTAGCTATTGTGAATTGAGCTGCTATAAACATTGATGTGGCTGTATCACTGTAATATGCTGATTTTAAGTCATTTGGGTATAAACCTAGGAGTCGGATAACTGGGTCAAATGGTTGTTCCACTCTCCACACTGCTTTCCATAGTGGTTGCACCAATTTGCAGCCCCACCAACAATGTATGAAGTGTACCTTTTTCCCCACATCCTCGCTAACATTTATTGTTGCTTATATTCTTGATGATTGCCATTCTGATTACTCCAGTAAGATGGAATCTCAGTGCAGTTTTGCATTTCTCTAATTACTAGAGATGTTGAACATTTTTTCATATATTTGTTGATTGATTGTGTTTCTTTTTCTGTGACTTGTCTGCCAATTTATTGATTGGGTTTTTTGTTTTTGTTTCTGTGTGTGTGTGTTAAGTTTTTTGAGTTCTTTATATATCCTGGAGATTAATGCTCTATCTGAGGAGGTGTGTTTGATAGATCTTTTTTCCATTCTGTAGGCTCTCTCTTCACATGCTTGAATGTGAAGAAGCTTTTAAATTTGATTCCATCCCATTTATTGATTCTTGATTTTACTTCTTGTACTTTAGGAGTCTTGTTAAGGAAATCAGGTCCTAAGCAGATGTGGCGGATATTTGGGCCTACTTTTTCTTCTATTAGGCACAGGGTTTCTGAGTGTATTTTAAGATCATGATTAGAATGCAACCTACTGGGAAAAAGTACAAGAAATTTTCTGGCAGTATTATTTTGTGCTATAGATAGGATTATCTTGCAGTTTCCTAGTGAATGGCAGTTTGTAAAACAGACTTCTAAGAGCCCATCAAACTTCAGAGTTGGGAGAAACTAAGAAACCAATATGCTCCCTTCCCTGTTCACACACATACACACCCATTACACAGGATAGCTTTTCATGTCATCTTGCTCTCTTAAAGTAGTGCATATTGTTTAGTCTTTAAATCTGGGCTAGTTGCTAAACTAGTACTTTCAAATTTAAATTCTTGAGAAAATAGGACACAGAAGTAATAACTCTTTTTTTAATTTTTATTGTTGGTTGTTCAAAACATTACATAGTTCTTATCTTTAAAAAAAGGCATAACATTATCATTTCCTTTTGATCACATGGTGTTGGATGATTTCTCATTTGTATAGAAACCAGCTGAGTAAATCTTAGACTTTAGAATGTAATTACTGGACATTTTAACCTTATTCCAGACTTAAAGATATCTTATTTTCTCTCTAGGTGGTACGGGACTATAATCTTCAGCTGTTTTTACAAGAGAATGCTGTATTTCACAAACCTCAACCCTTCCAGTTCCAGCCCTGTGACAGTGATACTGTAAGGGGAATTCAGATTCTCTTATCATTTTTTTAATTATATTTGTGCTTACATAGTTATCATCCTTGGAATAGACAGGGAGAACTGAGTGTATCTCATTAATTTTGTAACAACACTATGAAGATGTAGAGAAACCATGACATTTCTTCTGTCTACCATGTAAGGAACACACCCAGTGTCTTTATACTAACAACTTCCTACTGAATAAGATGAAGTTATGAAACAAAAGTAATGAAAATCTGAAAACTGAGGGAAGAAGAAAAATTATTCAACAGATTTATTAAGATGTACATTATGCTTTCTGTACATAATTCTTTTATGTTATACCTCTCAAAGAACCCAGTGGTTAAAGTTTAACCAGAGTAGAATGAATAATGTAATAATATATATGGGCATAGAGATATTTTAGTTGGCTTTAGAAAGCAATTATGGGCCTTTGATAATTCATTTAAGATTTTAGAATGTTAACATAAACCCCAAATTGGCAACTTTTAGAGAACTTACATTAATTATACATTTTTCTTAAGTTTAAGAGAAATGTTTGCCATTATTTGAATTTCTAAAATGATGAAAAATATGAATTTTTTTGACATAAAATAATGAAATTTAGCTTCTACAAAATGAGAAGTAATATTGGCATTCTAGTACATTCTCTAAAAGTAGGCGAACCAAGAGGGAAGTTAAATTATATTCAAAAACTCTTTTACTAAATTTAGAATCTGAAGGGAGTGTATGATATATTTTCAGAGTTTAATGATATCACTTTAATAGAAATGTATTTGTTGGTGACATCCTCATTATTTTTCTTATATTTTGAATAGCCCTGTTAATAGCTATATAAGGAAATACAGGACTGGGGAATGTAGCTCAGTGGTAGAGCACTTGCCTGGCATGTACAAGAGCCTGGGTTCAGTCACTAGTACTGCAAAAAGGATAGAATAAAATAAGAGAAATATTTAGGAAAAAAAAAAGAAATATTAGTATTTGCTTCTTAGATAATGGCTTTTGCCATTTATATTAGTGACCTTTTGAACAAATCAGATTTTTCTTAATGACTCAGTGATATTATCCTATAATTTGACTTCTTTGAAGCTTGGGATGAATGAAGTAGAGCCTTAGAAGAAACAGAGCCCGGACAGGTTTATCAAACTTGACTTAAAATTGTGACTAACTAGAGAGTATTTTATTTTTGCCTATTTGCCACATAAAAATCAATCATCTCACTTTCAAAGGCCAATTGTAGCCCTAAGCCCTTCTATCTTTGTTTCTAAACACTGCTAAATGTTCTTAGCTGTTGTGTTCCTGTTTTCCTTATAATTCTAACTCTGTGCTGTGTTTTCTATCCTTGTGCAATCTTTACTGGGTAGAGTTTAAGAGCTGCCCAACTGGTGGATATTGAGCTCTCCCCTGTCTGTGCTTTGAGAATGACCATAGCTGAGGTATATCGGGGTATGGGTCAAGGGTGGGAGGGATGGAATGTCTGGGGTTGCATGTTAATGAAGGGTGGGACCTGGTGTGGGACTGAGTCATAATTGTCTGTATACAGGGCCCCTGAATGCATCAGCAGTAGCTTTCTGATTTTCCCTTATAACCTAGGAATTTCCTTTACTTTGTATAGTAAATAGATTGAGCTTCTCATTTTTCCATTTGTCTGAAACACCTTAGTTTTCCCAACAGGAGTGTGGGAAGAACCCAAGAGCTAATCTTGGCTGTAATAAAGAGGGAACTGTATCCTAAGAAGGAAAAGAGATTTGCCCAGAGTCATGTGGGGAATGAATGACACATAGCTGTTCTGATTGCAGTTCTAATGCTCTTTCTGTTATGCTGTTGTTTCCTGAAAAAAATGTTGGAAACTTAGAAGCCATTAATTTTTTTCATAATAGAAAACAATAAATACCTGTGATTTTATAAAAATCCTTATAATGATTTTGAAAACGTTAACTATAAAATATTTTATGTATAATTTTTGTTGTGTTATAAATTAAGCATTTTTGTTGCTTACAAAAAACAAATTTACAAGGTTGGGGATATAGCTAAGTGGTAAAGTGCTTGCCTTGCATGTCAATTCCCAGTGCCAATAAATAAGTAAACAAACAAACAAATTCCCAAGCAAGTATTTTTACTCAGTATGGACCAGTATTTTTCCTTGTGGGAATGGAGCCATTGTTTACTTGCTTCTCTGGTTTTACTTCTTGGAGCTGGTAGCACAAAGCTTGGCATGAAATGAAGAGAATACAAGTCAGTGTCCATTAACTCATTTTTTCTGCCAGCTGAATCTTGGATATGTAGGAAGTACCACTCACCTCTATCTTCAGTGTGTTTCTGAAATTGCTCTTGTTGGTTCTGTTTTGAAACATATCTCAGTTCAACAAACACTTAACCCCTACTGTATGTTCCAGTCACTCAACTAAATGCTGAGGATAGCTATGACATGCTGAACTATAGACCTCAGGCTAGATGAGCTTGCTGTCTTTTCATAAGTTTATTGAGGCATATTTACATATCATATAATTCACCCATTTCAAGTGTGTTCAATGATTTTTAATGAATTTACCAAATTATGTTTCATCATCATAAATAAGTTCTAGAATATTTTCATGATCCTGATATGATCCTTCATGTCTATTTATTGTTAATCCACATCACCACTCCCAGATATAGGCAACCACTCTTTCTAGTTTTATTCTTTTTAGATTTGCTTTTTCTAGACATTTCATATAAATTAAATCGTACAATATGTGTAGTCTCGTATGCTTTGCTGCTTTCATTTAACATAATATTTTCGAGATTCATCCATGTTGTAGAATGCAGCAAGTATGTTTTGTTCCTTTTTATTGCTGATTAGTATTCCATCATGTGAATAAACCACATTTTGTTTATCTGTTTATCTATTCATCAGTTGGTGAACATTTAGATTGTTTCTCACTTTTGCTCTTATGAATAATGCTACTATGTTAATTGCTATGCCAGTCTTTGTATGAATGTGTTTTCATTTCTCTTGGGTTATTGGGTCATAGTAAATTTCTGTTTAAGTGTTTAGCAAACTGCCAAACTGTTTGCAAGAGTAACTGCAGAATTTCATATTTCCATCAGTATTGGGTGAGGATTCTCATTTCTCCACATCGCCAACAATATTGATTGTTATTTGTAGGTTTTTTTTTTTTCATTTAACATTCCACTATTGAGCTTCTTCCCCCCACCAGCCCTGTCTCTTTGGTTATAGCCTTGCTCGTGGTTGTGAAATATCTCATGGTAGTTTTTATTTGCATTTGCCCATGACTAATATTGTTGAATGTTTCATGAGCTGATTAGCCATTTATATATCTACTTTGGGAAATGTCTATTCAAAACTTTTTTGTTCATTTTTTTTATTGGATTGATTGGATTAGATTTTTGAAGATGAATTGAGATTTATCTTATAGAGATTGAGGAATGATATGTCAGGAAGTTAAGACAGCAATTGAAAACAAACAAACAAAAAAATAGGTGGCATTCATTGAACATTTATTTTATGCTAGACATTTTTCTAATTACATGACCTATATTAACTCATATAATCCTCATGACAGCCTTATGTCTTAGGTGCTGTTTTTCATCTCCCCTAATCAGGGTCCCTCAACTAGAAAGTTTATAGCTAAAACATTTGTAAGTATATGACCTGTTCCTGAGATGGCAAATAGTCTTGGGATGAGAGAGAAACTGAAAATACCATAGGCATATGTTGCAACCAGATTTTATGTTTAGTAATTCTATATACAGTGTTAGATGGAGAACTATGGAATATTTTCAAGTAGGACAAAATATGATGAGATCCATTGCAGAAGTAGGACAGTATTGTTCTTAATCAAAATTGGAATTAAGAATATTTAGTTGCTAATATTTTCTCTAAATTTAGTTAAGATACATGTAGGAAAGTCATAGGATGTTACTACTGTAATAAAATATAACTTATTATCATATACTATGTTAAAACTTAAAGAGAAAAAATTTTCAGATAATCCACTTCAAATTGCAGTGTTCTACAAAAGTTCAAAACATCCAACTAAAAACATATAGTCACAGTATTAGATAGGAATTTATTTAAGGCTTGGAATTATTATGCCTTTTATTTGGCTTATCTTTTATTTCTGACTGATCGAATTCCCTTTCATGTTATCTTAATATATGATTATTTTGACTCATTCTTTAGAATGATATGCCAAAAGGAACTGACTAGATAGTTTTATGAAGCCACATGTCTGTCTAGCCATAGACTGGGGTATTTATAATATTAACCATAAGATGATTACAAGTACCAGTGACCAAAGGAAAGTGTTGTTTGATGTGACCTAGTAGCTATCTTGTGGTTAATATAGAAAGGAGCTAACCAGGCATGGTGGCACATACCTATAATCCCAGTGGCTTGGGAGGCTGAGGCAGGAGAATCAAGAGTTCAAAGCCAGACTCAGCAACTTAGCAAGGGCCTAAGCAACTCAGGGAGACTTGTCTCTAAATAAAATACAAAAAACAAAAAACAAAAAAAAAACCTGGAGATATGGTTCAGTGGTTAAGCACTCCTGGGTTCAATCCCTGGTCCCCTTAGACCCCCCCCCCCCCCGCAAGAAAAAAGAATATTGAAAGGAGGTTTTCTTGTCTGTTGTCTATATTTCCATATTGTGTTACTGATTTCTAAAGTGTCCTTTCTTTATACCTCATTACCATTTATCAGATGATAGTAACAGGTCAAAAATTCTTTTTAAAAAATGAGCAGAGTACATCTTTCTTTGCAGATATGAGTTTGTAATGCAAAATTATTCTGAGGAGGATATGGAATGTGTCCTAAAACACCTCCCTAAGTAACAGGTATTCTGTTTAGAATTGACAAGTACATTGATTAGAATATCAGTGTTGGAGAGTCCTTCAGCTGTCACACAGGTCATACTGGTGTTAGATATTCATACAGGTGTTATACAAGAACAAGTCCTAGGTCTTAGTATCTAAAACTAGCTGTTTATATTATA